GGGGGGGGGTTTCCTGTAACGTGTCCCCAAAAATGAATCTGGATACAGATACGAGTGCGTTGTCTTCTAGGCTAAAGATGAACGAAATTATCACATTTTCTACTGTATGCTGAAAGGGATGCCACCAGATCAGAAGAAGAGGTTGGGACTTGGACATGCCACTGACTTCAACTACCTCTGTATGGTGAGTGGGTACGAGGAGGCTGTATGTACCATAAGGGTCACTAGATGGGGCACCACCAAGCCTCAACAGACTGTGATAACCTCATTTTCCTCATTTTGTTTCTACTGTCCGCCATGGGACATTTGTGGCTAAATTCTAGGGGGTTATTCACGAAAGAGCCGAAGGATCCAGCTGTAGTTTCGGCTGATCCTTCGGCTCTCTTCGGTCGCTGGAGCCTTTCAGTTCGGTCGAACCGAAGGGCTGCTGTACGGGGTATGCACAATGCCCCTTACAGCAGCCGCAGGCGGGCAAGCGGCTCAGCCGAGCCGAAGGCATATGCTTCGGCTCGACTGAGCCAAAGTGACAGCTGCAGTGGGGAGAACGGCCTGCCGAAGCTGAAGCTGTCTAGAATGACAGCTAGGCGGAGCCAGCCGAGATCTCACGGCTCGCTCCTCCCAGTTGTAATGAGAGATCAGCGTCCCCAAATGACCTGGGGACGCTGATCTGTCATTAAACGATAACAACTGGGCGAAGACATGACATCACTGCTAGCTCTGCCCAATTTTGTTTGTTTTTTCTTAAAAATATGTAGTTTTTTTAAATTTTCCAATTTGTTATGATTTTTAAAATAATTTAGCCACTTTTTTTTTTCTTTTCACACTTTTTACACTTCTTTTCTATTCTGCTCGGTACCACAGAGGGACCGAGCAGAATAGCGGAGCCAAATGCCGCTCAGCAGCATTCGGCTATTCACTCACTGCCGTCCGGCCCCTATAAGAATAGGGGCGAACGGCAGCGAGTGAGCTGATCCAGATGTTGGATCGGCTGAGTCGAAGTCCTTCTGCACTTCGGCACAGTCGAACATACAGAGCATGATGGGCTGACCGAAGGCAGCTGATGTACGGCTGATTTGAGCCGATTTACAGCTAAAACAGCCGTACAAGCCAGAAGTGAATAGCCGAACAGCATTCGTCTCACTTCACTTTGGCTGGATTATTCACTCGGTTTCCTTTGGCAGCTTTGAATAACGCTGCTAAACTTTCGATTTAAATCATGTAAATACATTGCAGGGGCATCAAAACAAAGGTGTGCAATGTCTCACAATTCACTTTCCCTAAGGTGCCCATACACATTACAATTATCTGCAGATTTTCTGTGGTCAGATTGAAAAAGTACAACAGCTTGGCTCAGGTGGAGATTACTTCATCCACACAGTTTAGCGTAGATGGAGGAATCTGTTGCACCTTTTCCACCTGACCACAGAAAATCTGCAGATAATTGTAAGGTGTATGGGCAGCTTTAGAAAATGGCCACAGCGTGAGTAGAGAAACCTGTCTCCTGATAGCATGCTGCAAAGAAGTACCCTTGCCATTAGTGCAGAAGCAGTGGTCTCTCTGCAGATGTCTCACACCCCTCTGCTGAAATGACATTGACAGGAGATCTCCAGCTCTGACTCAGCAGGGGCATGTCAAACCTCTGCAGAGAGACCACTGCTTCCACACCGTAATCAAGGGTCCTTCTCTGCAGCATCCTGGCAAGGGACAGGCTTTTTCTATTGAGACTGACTGCCTACTTGTTTTGATGCACCTGGAATGTATTTAGCTGATTTAAACTGAGAGCTCAGTTAGGCGTTATGTGATGCACACTAGGGGTTACATGGCAAACAGTGACTTCTATAAAGGGCCACATATTTTATTGTTGAGAAACAGGATTGTAGCAGCTGAAGAAAATCATATTCCAGGCAATAAAAGTATTCTACTTTGTTGTGAGGGCTGGTTTAAAGTCTGAAACTACAAATCCTACCATGCCTTTGTCTCGGGAGAGATATCTGTACTGTCAGATTCTTGAAATACCTCATGGGATTTGTAGTTCCATAACAGCTGAAGTGCCGAGGTTGCCTACCACTGACTTAGAGGGCTAGTTAATGCTTCAAGGCTTGTGGAATTGAGAAGGGAAGCAGCACAAGGCGTGCATGGGGACTGCAGACTCGGGTAGAAGAATTGAGTGAAGGAAATTTTATATCTAATAATAAGATGAAAATATTAGATTTTAAAGAGAACCAGTCAGTGTTTCTAAGACTCTAATCTACAAGTCTTACCTCTCAGGGGGTTTATGTGTGCTGTTATTCACTTGTTTTCTTATCCTGTCTGAGCAGAAATGTCTGTTATATATAAGGACCCCGATGGAGACTGACCTGCCTCCTGCCTGAGCCCAGGGCCAACAGATACTCTGTTTAGGCTGCTCCTCGGAGCCATGTAACAAAACAGCTAGGACAAACTCGGTATATCAAAAAAATTTGACTACAGAAGTATTTAAGAATACAAGCAACTTCACATGGACATACAACCAATTGGTCAGTAATAAAAACCCTCTGGGAAATATCTGACACAGAGCATTATTTGACCTATGGACTTGCAAGATGTAACCTAAGCTGTATAAATATCCATATGCAGGGACTAATTAATACCCAGGTGACCTGGTGTCAGATCACCCAAAGTAAGACATGTGATCAACATAGTTGGAACATCAAGCTACATGTGAAAATCCTAATTACATACATTGGTATTCATAATATATAAAGGTGGCTCATCTGCATGTCCTGGGCATCGGGAGATAGGAACTCCACACCCCTGCTGCCCCCTACTCCCTGCTGCCCCGAGGCCGGGCCTTGGTGGGCCTTGTGAGAAATCCGGCCCTGGACACAAGTTAATTGCGTTCAACCAATAGAAATGGCGGGAGTGGCCAAAGCTAAAACTGTCATCAACAAAGCTTTTAGATTTCTTTTATGAAATGCATACAGCACCATTGTTCGACGATTGTATGGGTGTCTTGTATCAGCACTGAGCTCAGGCCAGAGATGGGACAGCCTGATGCTTCTATTTTGACAGGGAAGGAATACAAGTGAATCATTAAAACACAAGTAATGCCTTAGATATGAGCCAGCACTTTTACACATTTTAAAAATTGGAGATTCTTGTTATTACACATACCTATTGGTGACTGGTTCTCTTTACAAGTTGCTTAGCGCAGGGACTGATAGAGAGGCTTCAGGATGGAATGAGAGGCAGGCAGGCTGATCTCAAACATTTGTAATGGGACAACACCTGGTACGCATGTTCTTTTTCTTGCAGGGCAACTGTACGACTTGTGATGGCAGAGATGACAGTAAGGAGTATGCTAACATTCGCTCAGCCATGAAAGTCCTAATGTTTACCGACACCGAGAACTGGGAGATCTCCCGACTCCTGGCTGCCATACTGCACATGGGGAACCTTCGCTATGAAGGTAATGATTATTATAATGCTCAGCGATCTATGGTTTCAGTCCCTCAAACATATATTTATTATCATAAGTGTAATTTGCAGTTTGTTTAGTTGCACCCATGTAGTCATTTATTGACTGGTAATAAAAACTGTCACAGTTTCTGGTGAATGGATAGTCTCTAGTGAATGGATAGGCTGCATTCTCAGTGATGTCACCAGTCTCTAGTGAATGTATAGGCTGCATTCTCAGTGATGTCACCAGTCTCTAGTGAATGTATAGGCTGCATTCTCAGTGATGTCACCAGTCTCTAGTGAATGGATAGGCTGCATTCTCAGTGATGTCACCAGTCTCTAGTGAATGTATAGGCTGCATTCTCAGTGATGTCACCAGTCTCTAGTGAATGGATAGGCTGCATTCTCAGTGATGTCACCAGTCTCTAGTGAATGGATAGGCTGCATTCTCAGTGATGTCACCAGTCTCTAGTGAATGGATAGGCTGCATTCTCAGTGATGTCACCGGTCTCTAGTGAATGGATAGGCTGCATTCTCAGTGATGTCACCGGTCTCTAGTGAATGGATAGGCTGCATTCTCAGTGATGTCACCGGTCTCTAGTGAATGGATAGGCTGCATTCTCAGTGATGTCACCGGTCTCTAGTGAATGGATAGGCTGCATTCTCAGTGATGTCACCGGTCTCTAGTGAATGGATAGGCTGCATTCTCAGTGATGTCACCGGTCTCTAGTGAATGGATAGGCTGCATTCTCAGTGATGTCACCGGTCTCTAGTGAATGGATAGGCTGCATTCTCAGTGATGTCACCGGTCTCTAGTGAATGGATAGGCTGCATTCTCAGTGATGTCACCGGTCTCTAGTGAATGGATAGGCTGCATTCTCAGTGATGTCACCGGTCTCTAGTGAAGGGATAGGCTGCATTCTCAGTGATGTCACCGGTCTCTAGTGAATGGATAGGCTGCATTCTCAGTGATGTCACCGGTCTCTAGTGAATGGATAGGCTGCATTCTCAGTGATGTCACCGGTCTCTAGTGAATGGATAGGCTGCATTCTCAGTGATGTCACCGGTCTCTAGTGAATGGATAGGCTGCATTCTCAGTGATGTCACCGGTCTCTAGTGAATGGATAGGCTGCATTCTCAGTGATGTCACCGGTCTCTAGTGAATGGATAGGCTGCATTCTCAGTGATGTCACCGGTCTCTAGTGAATGGATAGGCTGCATTCTCAGTGATGTCACTTATCTTTGGTGAATGGATAGGCTGCATTCTCAGTGATGTCACCGGTCTCTAGTGAATGGATAGGCTGCATTGTCAGTGATGTCACTTGTCTTTGGTGAATGGATAGGCTGCATTCTCAGTGATGTCACCGGTCTCTAGTGAAGGGATAGGCTGCATTGTCAGTGATGTTACTGGTCTCTAGTGAATGGATAGGCTGCATTCTCAGTGATGTCACTGGTCTCTAGTGAATTGATAGGCTGCATTCTCAGTGATGTCACCGGTCTCTAGTGAATGGATAGGCTGCATTCTCAGTGATGTCACTGGTCTCTAGTGAATGGATAGGCTGCATTCTCAGTGATGCTCCTCTTCTACATCATGTTCCATATTTAATAGTATCTTCAAATAATCATTATTATTTTTGCAGCCCGAATGTACGATAACCTGGATGCCTGTGAAGTGGTTTATTCCACCTCATTGACTACAGCTGCAACATTACTGGAGGTTAGTTGCACAAAATGTATATTTCCGATTCTGGTGCTGCTTTGTAAACCGAGTAGAAGACCTGCCCCTTGCAGTGGAGAAATCATGATTTCAAAAATAAATTCCATATAAACAGATCAATGATTGGATTCTACATCATATTGCTCATGGTAGTATAAACACAATCTTTCATTACAGAAATCGAGATTCAAGCCCCACCCTCCATGATAACATACCCATGTCTCCAATGACACCATACTGTATAAAACCGGTGCTCTACAGCCTCTGATAAGGAAGGAGTCACCGCTCTCATTAGGAATCTACAATGCTTATGATGTGAAAAGGAGACTCCCGGCCATGGCTCCCATGCACTGGTCCACTATTGGCCTTGGCAAGCACACACTGGTCTTCTGTGACAGCGGCTCCCTCCTCCGCTGCCGAAACCTCCCTCCTCCCCCCCCCGGCTTCAGCACTTCCTTCACTTCTCCTCGGATCCCCACTGCATACAGGCAGGGGAGAGCAGTGGGGATCCAGAGGAAAAGCTGCAGGCTGAGCCCCCTGTGTGTGTGGCTGAGTGGCGGAGGATCGGTAAATATCAGTGATATGTACCAATCCTCTGTGCAGAGCAAACACTGGAACTGGAACGATCAGCTAATCACTCCAATGTTTGTAAATAACCAGGGACACATAGTACTATGTGTCCCAGTTATGAATGAACAGGAAGTGCTTTACATAATTTCCTGTTCATTCATGATTTTCTCAATGGGGAGTAGAAACTGTTTGATAGTAAATATTTTCTGAATGAATGGAAAGCCTCTGCACTTTCCATTCATTTAGAGACTGCCGAAAAAGAGATTGAGGACTTTGTGTCCTCAATTTCTTTTTCTATTTTGAAAGGGAAATATCAGGGATCTGTTTAGACCCCCAATATTTCCCTGAAGCCCCCCCTTCCCCTTTTTTTTCTTGCGTCGGGTGCAAAAGGAGCTAGCTACGGCTCTGTCAACTCACTGAGACAAAAGCACTTCCTACCCGGCTGATATCAATTAGGAGAGAAGAAGAGTCATTGCTCTGAGCTAGTGTCAGCTCCCTCTATGGCTAATCTACCAAATACTGAAACCTGGTAGATCAAAGATGGAGATGGATAAGATTTCAGTGATTAGCGTACATATGCTTTTACAGGTGGAACCTCAGGACCTCATGAACTGCCTCACGAGCCGAACCATTATCACCAGAGGAGAGACAGTGTCCACCCCTCTCAGCATGGAGCAGGCCCTGGATGTCAGGGATGCCTTTGTCAAGGTATTGAGCCGGCCTTCGTATGTATGACATCGGTTTTTGTTATATATGACATGTATTGTCTTGTGTAAACATTAGAAGAATGAGAGCGTCACAAAACGTAAATGAGTCATGTAAAAATGTATTTTTAACAACAAGAGATCAAAAACCCAACGCGTTTCGAGGGATCAGAGCTGCCCCTTCATCAGGGCTAAGAAACAAGATGATATAAAATAATATAGAGTGAGGATCTAAAACTACAAAACATGCATTCTATTGTAAAATAACTTAAAGCGATATTAAAGTTAAAAGGTTTTAAGCGATTTAAAATGCTGTTTAAATCTCTCATAATGGATGCTGCTCCTTGATGTTTAAAAGTTTTAGCTTCCTGCCGAATCAGCTGGTCCCCTGAGCACTGATCCTGATGTCCTGTTTTAGGGTGACTCCTTTCCTATGGAGCCACCCTTGTGTGTGATAATAAGCTGTGTGTCTCCACAAATACACAGTATAAAGAGTTATGGACACCGGCACTCCAAAGTAGAAAAACGTCTTTTTCTCACTTGTTCTGCCTGATGAAGGGGATCCTGTGTGACCCCGAAACGTTGCAATAAGTGTATTGTTGCATGATGCGTCAATAAAAGAAGTTTTTCTACTTTGGAGTGCCGGTGTCCATAACTCTTTATACTTTGCCTGGACGGTGGCCATCCGTCGACTACTGATGCACCCAACCCATTCATCAAGGATTTAGCGGTAAGGAGTGCAATGGGTACACTGACTATCCACAAATACACAGACACAGCAAGGCAAACCACTCCCCCCCTCGTCCCTGCTCCTCCTTCCTCCCTTCTTCAAGCTAGTAGATGGATGGCTGCTGGAGACTGCTCTGTCCCTTGTGATCTTGTACTGGACAAGAAGTTCAGGGAAGCCAAGCTGAGAGAGTTGGAGCTGTTCAGAAACATGATGACTGTAAGTGCTTGGGCAAAAATGTAAAGAAATACATTGCCAGGCAATGTATATTTGTTTGATCTGGATTCATTATTGAATCTAATTAAGGATTAAATACTACTTTAATATAAAAAAAGTTTACATAGGCGATATACATTATAAAAGTATATATTGTACTGTAACAACATCTACTGTATTCGGCTATAATTATACTCTCATCAATTATTTTAATAATATTCTATAATTATAATGAAAATAGGAACAAAAAAAAAGAGAGCATCTCATGTAATATATTATTATTATTATTATTATCATTTTACACATTTGGTTGTAGCCATTATTTCTAGTAAAATAAATGTTTTTGCAATACAATATATTATTATTAATGTTATTCTTCTTATAAATTAGGTAATTTTACAATGTGTGTTTGTAGTTTCAGATCCTCAGTTTATATTATTTCATGTGATCTTGTTTCTTAGCCCTGATGAAGGGAGAACTCTGAGCCCCCGAAACGAGTTGGAATTTTTACCTCTTGTTGTGAAGAATACATTTTTACTGCACTCATTCAAGTTTAATGGCGCTCTCGCCCTTCTAATGTTCTACAGATTACTCCAGTGGTTCTCTAGGACACCTCTAGGGCACTCCACCAATATTTTGTCTTTATCGGCATGCTAAGATCACGCCTACAAGTCTCATTATTTGCATGAGCAATCTTAGCACGTGCAGTTTGAGCAGTATCAGGTGGTAAGTAGTGACCTGCGTTCTTTTCTGGCATGGCAGGGCATATATGGACGTCTGTTCGTATGGATCGTGGAGAAGATTAACGGCGCCATTTACCGACCTGTCTCCCACGAGCCCAAAATTTCGAGAAGATCGATTGGCCTGCTGGATATATTCGGGTTTGAGAACTTCACTGTAAATAGGTAGGCTTGCCTCGCATTTGCTAAACCTTTCATGATGGAAATACTTTGTAGACAAGTACGTTTCGTTCCGAATCAAAATTCAGACACATTTTCTGAAATTCGGATACATCCGAATTTCCGAATCCCAATGCATCCGAATGTGTCCGAATCCGAATTTCTGATCCCGTTCGAATTTCATTCGAAAACGGAACTGAAGCGGACATGTGACTTTTCTGGCCAATCAGATGTATTTTTTGGGTTTAATGCCTCTGAATGGGTCTACACACAGGTTTTCGTTACAGCAACATGGGAGCCATATACAGTATTATATGTATATACTGTATATGGCTCCCAGACCCGAATAGAATTCAGGATTTGAATTTTCAAATTGCATTGTGTAACTCCTGAATGCCATTCGGGTCTGGGAGCCTCAGCTTTAGTATTATATGTATATACTGTATATGGCTCCCAGACCCGAATAGAATTCAGGATTTGAATTTTCAAATTGCATTGTGTAACTCCTGAATGCCATTCGGGTCTGGGAGCCATATACATTTTATACTAAAGCTGAGGCTTCCAGACCCAAATGGCATTCTGGAGCTCCCCAAGGCAATTTGTAAATTCGGATCCCCAATGCCGTTTGGGTCTGGGAGCCTCAGCTTTAGTAATATATGTATGAGGCTCCCAGACCCGAATGGCATTCAGGAGCTCCCCGGTGCAATTCAGAAATTCGGATCCTGAAAGCCATTCGGGTCTGGGAGTACTTTAGTATTAATATCTGTATACGGTTTTCTGTGGTATTCGCAACGAATATTCGTAAACTCATCCGAAACGAAATTCGGTTTTCGTCCGAAACCCGAACCGGATTTAATTTCAGATCCGAATTCCGAAATAACGAAGTATCCAAACCGAATGTTTCCGCAGCTTACATGTCTAATACATAGGGCAGCTCTTCTTCTCAAAGTGCCAGTTGCCTGGCTGTCATGCTGATCCATTCTTTCTGAGTTAAAGAAGAACTCGGGGCAGAATAAAACGTAACCCTTGCAGTGGGACTACCCCCGCACTTTGGATGTGGAATGTCCCTCAGTGTCCTCACAATTCGGACGAATTTTCAGAAATTCGGACACATCCGAATTTCCGAATCCCAATGCATCCGAATGTGTCCGAATCTGAATTTCTGTTTCCGAATTTCGGATGCCGTCCGAATTTCATTCAAAAACTAAACTGAATGAGACATGTGACTTTTCTGGCCAATCAGATGTGTTTTTCGGTGTAATGCATCCGAATGGGTCTGAATAGGAATTTTCGTTACGGCAACATGGGCGTATAGTAAACACTGTATAGAACATGATGACTCATTAGACCTTAGACTGCCGGAGCGGAAGGGGAGAGAGGTTGCTGGGACCAGTCTTGCAATCAGATGAGATCGAGGATCGGGTGAGTATATGTTTGTTCTTTTAGACCAGGTGTAGCAAACCTCCGGCCCTCCAGCTGTGGTGAAACTACAAATCCCTTCGGTAGTCATGTCTGTGGCTGTGAGAATCTTGCAATGCCTCATGGTATTTGTAGTTCCACCACAGCTGGAGGGCTGGAGGTTTGCTACCCCTGTTTTAGACCCTAGACCAAAATTAGTACTTAACCCTTGAAGTACGGGGGTAGCCCCACTGCAAGGGTTACGTTTTATTCTGCCCCGAGTTCTTTAATAAAACCAGAAGAGGAATGCAGATCATGAAGTCTGACTGCATCATGACTTCACCGGCTGCATATTTGCTCCAGGCCAGTGATTGAAACTATGCCGAAGTCGTAGGATCGGCTTAGAGCCAGGCAACTGTCATTTCCAAATGGAAGTCAGCAGTGACGGCATGCTCATTTCTCTCACAATGGCTTTCCTTTTGGAAGTCTTCTCTACTAAGGAAACATGTAGGTCAGGGGTAGCCAAATGTCGACTCTCCAGCTGTTGTGGAACTACAAGTCCCATAAGGCATTGCCAGACTCTAAAAGCCATGGATATGGCTCCCAGAGGCAGGTGCATGATGGGATTTGTAATTTTACCATAGCTGGAGGGCTGAAGTTTTGTTCCCACTGATTTAGAGACTTCCATTGCTGACCTCTTCTTTTGTATGTCAATTGCCTTGGTGTCATGCTGATCCAGAGTCTTCAGCTCTTGCAAATCAGAGGTTCTGACTGCATGTTTGCTCTGGGCCAGTGACTAAGGATGTCCTACAGCCAGAGGATCAAAATCTGTGCTGTGTGATACAGCTGTGTACATTTTAGGATTGGATGGGCTGAGAAAGCAGCTCTCTTATATGTCTTTAGATGTTTGTCCGCAGTTCAGGTTTAACTCTTTATTATACCGCCTGTTGCAGCTTTGAGCAGCTCTGCATCAATTTTGCCAACGAGAACCTGCAGCAGTTCTTCGTCCGCCATGTGTTTAAGCTGGAGCAGGAGGAGTACAACCTGGAGAACATAAACTGGCAGCACATCGAGTTCACTGACAACCAGGACGCCCTGGACATGATCGCCCTTAAACCCATGAACATCATCTCGCTCATCGATGAGGAGAGCAAGTTTCCAAAGGTACAGAAGCCATCCTATAAAGGCCCGGTGTCCAGATGTGTCCCCTGCACTCCTTACAGCATTAAGGACCTTGGTAAATCGCGGTGCTTGCAGTGAGAGATCACTGATGGCGCCGTGCGGTATCAAGTCTTGAAAATAAGGAAGATCACCAGCACCCCACGGAAAACTTTTGTTTAACTTCTTGTGTGTATTCATTGCAGAAGTGTGTCACATGAAAAACCAATGTTCCGGGGCCACGCAGGTTCCCTTCATCAGGGTGACATAGTTGTCACTATTAGGGATGCACCGATATATCGGCCGCCAAAACATATCGCCCGAAAATGTCACTTTTGGCTAAATGCCGAAAGTGCCATCTTCCGGGCCGATACATGGGCGCATCCCTGCTTTCTTTCCTCTCCGCTGGGCGCTGCTCTGTGTCCCAGCGAGGAGGAGAGAAAGTGTCACAGGCGGCCGAGCGCTACGGGAGGCGAGTGCTGTGAGCGGTCGGCGTCTCTCCTCCCACACCACTCAGCCTCCTGTCACAGATCGGGAAAGCGGTGTGGGTGCGGAGAAAGCCAGTGCTGTGAACGGCCGGCGTCTCTCCTCCCTGCACCGCTCGCTCAGCCTCCTATCACAGTCCGGCAGAGCGGTGTGGGGGCGGAGACAGCCCGCGCTGTCACAGGGGGCTGGGCTCTCCTCCCTGCACCGCTCGCTCAGCCTCCTGTGACAGCTATCAGGAAGGAGAGCAGTACAAGCAGTCAGAGTTCAGTGATCGCTGAGTGTTTGTATTTAAAATAAAAAAACAGTTTCGGTTTCGGTCTGACATTTGTTTTTTTTTCGGTTTCGTTTCGGTTTTGAAATTTTCATTCCGGTGCACCTCTAGTCACTATGTCACCCTGATGAAGGGAACTTGTGTGGCCCCGCAACGTTGGTTTTTCATGTGACGCACTTCGCAAATAAATACACACAAGACGTTATAAAAAGTTTGCCGTTGAGTGCTGGTGATCTTCATTATTTTCAATCCTTTAAAGGCCTTCAATCCAAGATTAGAAAATAAGGGTCATGGTCATCAATCGGCTATTATTTCTGTGACAGTCCACCCAAAACGGTCTTCAGTTATGGGCACTGACCCACCCAGAGGCTCTTGGGGACTCTTGCTAACATCTCCCTGCCAGAGTTCTAACCTTTATTGCATTTTAATTTTTTGTAGTTTAAGATAAATATGGAATCCAGCATGGTGAGTGAGCAGATTGAAGCTAAGGGGGATTGAGATTCTGCCCTTTACCATACTTTGCAAAGGAAGTCATCAATGGTGGAATCCATGTTTTACATGGAAAAGGATTTCCTTAACCAAAGTGCAGTGAGTTCATTGTTTGGGAACTGCCATGGACGGAGACAATAGGTACAGGTACCCAAGGGTCTGGACTTCCATGTTGTTACAGCCCCTTTACAGATCAATACTTCAACATTTGTGCCCCCTACACCAGTGGCCTCACAAGGCGGCCCGCACCCGGGAGATGCCATTGGAGGGGTGACACCAGTGGCGTTCCAATCACCATAACGACCCAGGCGGACGCTGTGGGGCCCGGGCACGGGGGGGTCCGACCAGGACACCCCCCTGATGCCGTGCGGGCCGCCTGGGTCGCTATGGTTTCGAACGAGCCGATGTTCAGTTCACTGTCGGTGATCTGTGCAGCGCTGCGCTCGTCTCCACAGCCGCTGCTGAGTCAATGAGAGCCAGCAGCGGCGGTGGAGGAGGCTGGATCCGGCAGGGGAGGAGGAGGCGGGCCCGGGGTCAGCAACAGAGAAGGAGGCGGTGACGGAGGAGGAGGCGGGCCTGGCGACAGAGGAGGGAGCGGGCCCGGCGACGGAGGAGGGAAGACAGAGGAAGAGGAGGCGGACAGGTAAGGAGTGTGACCAGCCCACCTCAGGGTGACCCTGCAGAGCCCACCATATAGAGTCTATGGTGGGCTCTGCAGGGTCACCCTCAGGTGAGCTATGTGAGATCTCAAGTGGGCTCCTCTAGGGGTGTAACTAGAAATCACAGGGCCCCATACAAAATTTTGCTCTGAGGCCCTGTGATTTCTAGTTACGCCCCTGGGTGACACCAAAATGACTGACAGTCATTTTGGTGTCACCCACTCTGAAAAATCGGGCACTCGGTCATGCTCGAGAGGAGGGGAACCAGCGGCATACCTTATCTCGCCGGGTGAACGTCCCCTCTTCTCTCTGCCGGCGTTCATCACCAAGATGGCCGCCGGCCGGTAACAGCGGTACAACGCGTGATGTCATCACCCCGCCTCAGGACGCCTCTGTCCTACACACAGGCTAATCAGGAGGGGATCCGTGTCTGTCCAGTTTTTTCCTCCATCGAAAGAACTAAAACTGTCAGACCCATATTGGTCTATGGGGAGCCAGATGTCCATTTACATTAGATTACCCCTGATCTGGCATGATCAGGGTCAGCGAAATGGACCTCTTTTCCGTTTGTTTTTCCGGACCTGGCTGGAGTCGGGGGTAACCAGGTGTAAATGGACATCTGTCCGTGTACACCCGCCTGCCCATAAAGTAGCATTGGGCATCGGATCGTGTCCACTTGAAAAGCTGACAGGCAGACCTGATCGGACCGCCCGTGTGAAAGGGGCCTTAAAGATAACTTGTGCCACATTTGCAAAGGAAGTCATTAAGGGTGGAATCCATGTGTTACATGGAAAAGGTTTTCCATGTAAAACATGGATAATAAGATCTATTATAAAAGGTCAGAGGGGGAAAAAACAATGACAAGAAAACAGGGATGGACAGCATAGAAATAAAGTAATATACTGTGACACCAATAGGTTCTAGAAGTGACATATTTCCGTTTATTGGCTTAAGTAAGCACCAAAAAACCCACCGTCTGCAGGGGCCCTGAGGGCCGCACAGTAAGTGCCAAAGGGCTACACATGGACCCTGGGCCACAGATAAGGGGCTTTAAGGCATTACTTCTGCATGAAGTGGCTCAGTGATTGGCTGTGTTGGAATAACTTCATTTGGTGTTGCAGGGTACGGATACCACCATGCTGAACAAGCTGAACACTCAGCATAAACTGAACAGCTTTTACATCCCGCCCAAAAACAGCTACGAGACGCAGTTCGGAATCAGCCACTTTGCCGGCGTCGTTTACTACGAGACGAAAGGTGAGACAATATCCTAATATCTTTCTATGGGCTATGTATAGACACATATTATGAACATCTATTGGCAGGTAAGAGGAGAGTTATTTACACTAGTGGTCCCCCTATCCTGTGATGAGTCAAATTTAGAGGGGTCATGGTATCCAATCCAAAGCTGGCCATACACATTAAGATTTTCTCATTCCTCCTCAATCTGATGTCACTGCACAATGTGAGCGTCTCACAATGTGCATTAGAAGCTGCAGCAAGTCAGATAGAGACCGCCTCATTTCTTAAGGACGTCCAGCATCATCGGTGCGGTCCGGTACAATCAAAATAGTGCTTGCAGCATTTTGATCGGAGCGGAACCGCAGGCATAATGTGCCTTGCGATCCTTTGCAATCGCAAGGCACATGCGATCGCATTGCGGACGGAGGGCGTGGCTACGGTGCCATTCACTTCAATGGCCCGCCACGCCCCCCACCTGCCCAACAAAAAAGTGAGCCGGTCGCAATGTGATGCAGTGCGTTCTGGCCAGAATCGGGCCGCAACGCACTGCATCTAGTGTGAATGAACCCTAAGTGCTCATGGCGGAATCTGCTCTATTCTTCTTGTTCAGCCCGCGGGTTGAGCAAGAAGAATAGAGCAGTGTATGGCCAGCCTCACCTTGCAAACAATCCACTCCAGTGCTGCACTGTCCGCTCTCCCCTCTGCCACCAGTGCTGCCATCTTCTCCTGGTCTCCTTCTGGGCTTGGCATCTTCACCCAGGCCGGCATGATGTACTTGCACACGGGAGTTAACCATTTCAGCACAGGACCTTGCTGAGCCTGCGCACTGTGTTGGGCATGTGCACAAAAAAATCAAATTGTTGACAGGTTGGTAGGAGTTTTGTTTTGGCAGGCGAGATTTACACAGTGCCTTCTATAAAAACCTGCCCCACAGGTAAAACACATGTTACTTCCACTTTAACTGCTTTATAGATAAATATGCCGCTATGCTCAAACTGACTGCTAAGTGGGAGAGTTTCCTTTACTATAGCCACCTGATCCATCTCAGTGTGGTGATGAGAAAGCAGCAGCCGCCTTTGCATTCCTTTTATACGTTTAAGAACCTTTCAGAAATATATCTACCAAGCATTGAACTCTTCTTGCAGGAAGGTACAAGCAGGAAACTTCATATCCAACTGTTTGCCACTTTTTATTTATGCCCCCATGGCTTTATTTTGTTATGCCAGGGGAACCAGTTGCTTAGCTGCCCCAGTTTATTAGAGCACTTTGCTGACAGTGCAGGTGAGGCCATGTGCGGCCATCATCCTGAAAGGTGATAGGGGTAATTCAGTGTAGAAGAGAACATGGTGGTGAATTTGATAGGTACCAGAAGCCAGATGGTATGTGCAGAATTAGTGACATGATTCTTCACCAATCGTGTCTTCAGGGTCAGGTACAAAGCAATTTTCATATCACCGCACAGTCTCATGTTCCCGAAGCATTCAGTCCGGAGGTAATACGTTTTTGTTTTTTTTCTGACACTCAAGTCATTGGTTTAAAGCTGAACTCCGGGCACCAGAAAAATTAAATATATTCTTCAATAGCCAAAAAGGATACAATCCACTTTGTGTGCACCTGATGCAGGGGTGGGCAGACTCCGGCCCCCCAGCTGTGGTGAAACTACAAATGCCATCATGTATCTGTCTCTGGGACTCGTGGCTGTGAGAATCTTGCAATGCCTCATGGGATTTGATCTAATGTGTTTACAAAGAAAGTTATTAACTTTATTATTAGGGATGCACCAATACCGGTATTTCGGTATCGAGTACGAGTACCGATATTTTTTTCCTGTACTCGCCGATACTGAATACCGAGTGCCAGAAGTCCCATTCAGGAAGTCAGGCGATGTGTATTGACTTGCCACCCGGCTTCCTGATTAGCACGGAAGCCGTCCCCATGCTTCTCATCACTGGGTGACAAGAAAGCATGGAGCTGGCTTTCTGGCCAATCAGGCTTCCTGATTGGCCGGTAAGTCGGCTCAATGCTCCCTCATAAGGTGAGGAGGGAGCATGAAGCCGGCTCCCTTGCCAATCAGAAAGCCGGGTGTCGCGTCATTACACGGAGCCCGGCTTCCTGATTGGCCAGCTTCCCGACCAATCAGGAAGCCGGGCAGTGCATCATTACACGCTGCCCAGCTTCCTGATTGGCCGGGTAGTCGGCTCCATGCTCTCACGTCACAGGTGACGTGAGAGCATGGAGCCGGCTACCCGGCCAATCAGGAAGCCGTGCAGCGTGTAATGATGCGCTGCCCGGCTTCCTGATACCAGAAGTATCGGGCTAGGCACTGGAGCATTTGGGCGAGTACGAGTACTCGCCCAAATACTCGGCATCGGCACCGATACTAGTGTCGGTATCGGTCCATCCCTACTTATTATATTGGTATTAGTGATCATCACTGTGCTGTATATAGCCTGTGCAGAGAGATGAGCTTTAGGAGGGACCCAGCAGGAACTGAGGTGGGATCTATCTGACTTGCTGCAGCTTCTAATGTACATTGTGAGGAGCTCGCAGTGTGCAGTGATATCAGAGGAAGCGATTTCAGTCCAGGAGAGTAGCCGGTACAACTGTGCCAGGCCGGAGATCAGCTTTAAGGCTAGTGGGTCTTACTTACTGTGAAGAAAATTCTGCTGACTGCAATGGGTGGAAGCACCAGGGAAAGTCACGCTTGCTGAGATTCACCAACATGCAGACTGCGAGCAGTCTATTCACAACACTTGTTTCAAATTTTTAAGGAATAGAGGGGAAATCTTCCGGTGGGGACGCTTTTTCCAGCAACAGCTGTATGAGAGGGAATTTCTTTACTTTGGATGAATTCCTTCTTACTTCCTGTTGTGCCTCTGGGACAGGAAGTGAAATAAACATTTCTCAAATTAACCCTTCCCTTCTCTATCCCAAAAACTTTTGTCTTATATATCTTGATTTTACCCTCCTCTCTGCAGGATTTCTGGAGAAGAATCGGGACACCCTCCATGGTGACATCATACAGCTGGTCCACTCTTCTAAAAATAAATTCATCAAACAGATCTTTCAGGCGGATGTGGCCATGGTAAGTACAGATAACAGTGTGCGTGTCAGGGTTCAATGGTCAGTGGTGTTTGGTGCAAACCGTTACTGTGGCTTTAAAGCAAACCTGTCTTAAAAATGGATACTCAGTCCCACCTTCCCACCCTTTACCAGGAAGACTCTGGTGCCTTAATCTCGCTTTAGTGCTGCAGTACCTAAAATGCCATTGGGCGTTACTGGCAATAAACAGCATTGTCAGTAATTGCATACCCCATGGTGAGTTCCCGTGTGACAGCGCTAGGGCATGGAGATCAGGGCCAGGCCAAGCAGTAGGCAGAAGAGGCAGCTGCCTTGGGCACTTTAGGAGGTAAAGCAGAAGTTGCAACCTACCCTGCTGAAGTAGTTCATAGCTCATGAGTGAAGACTTCAACCCCCCTTGATTACTGTAAGGCCGTGTTCAAACCTCTGCGTTTTGTAGCTCGTAGCACAACACGAGGAATTCCATTGTTTTCTATGGCCCTTGTTTACACCTGAGCTTGCTACTGTCACCTCCCAGCAAAATGCCTCTTGCTTGAAATAGTACATGAGCTTTCAGGCAGCCTTGAATGTTGAATTGTCCCCATAGACTTCAATGGAAAGCCTTAAAATGGGCGTCACAAGCGTTTTTCAGCATTTTTTGCATGATGTCATAGATGCTACTGCCAAATAGAAAAATGCCTGAAGCTGAATGCCTGCAAAACGCTTACAAAATTAGCATATATGCTAGGAATGCACCGACACTGCTATCGGTATCGGTGCAGATACCAAGTATTTGGGTGATGCTCCGATACTTACCTCTGATACCGAAACTTCTGGTCAGAGAGAGCTCTCCCTCTGGCGTGCAGTGCCGAGGGAGCATGGAGTCGGTATCCTTTCCAATCAGGAAACCAGGCAGTGGGTTATGACCCGCCTCCCGGCTTCCTACTTGCCTAGGAAGCCGGATTCACATGTTGCTAAGCAGCCTGGCTTCCTAACCAATCAGGAAGCCGGGCAGCACGCAATGACCCGCCTCTTGATTGGTCAGAAAGCCAGGCTGCCTAGCAACAAGTGAAGCCAGCTTCCTGGCCAACCAGGAAGCCGCGAGGCGAGTCATGACATGCCGCCCGACTTCCTGATTGGCTTGGAAGCCAGCTTCACGTGTTGCTAAGCAGCTTGGCTTCCTAACCAATCAGGAAGCCGGGTGGCATGCCATGGCTCGTGTCCCGGCTTCCTAATTGGTCAGGAAGCCACGCTGCCTAGAAACAAGTGAAGCAGGCTTCCTAGCCAATCAGGAAGCCAGAAGGCATGTCATGACGTGCCGCCCAGCTACCTGATTGGTCAGGAACCCAGGCAGCCTCTGAAGCCGGTGTTCTTTTGCTAGAACACCGGCTTCACAGGCCATCAAGAAGCCAGGTGACAGGTCATAATCCGCCGTCTAACTTCCTGATATTCGGGGCACAATGCACCGGTACTTGGTATTGGCGAGTACCAAAAAAAATATCAGTACTCGTACTCAATACCAAAAAACGGTATCGGTGCATCCCTAATACTGTATATGTATGTAGAAATGCTCAAAAACGCTTAGAAAAACACCGGAAATCACTAAGGCCTACCATGAGTGATTTCAGGTCTTCTAAACGTTCTCCAGATGGTTAAGAAATTGTGAATACAACAATATATCGATGCTTACTGTGCAATGCTGTTGGGCCAACACTAGCTTCACTACCATGGAAGCCAGTGCCATCTTGGATGTGTCCTAGTCCCTACATCTTCCATTCCATATTCAACCCACAACTGACTGATGGGCATAAAAACATGGGGTTTGCTGGAAGGAGAAGTATCATGGATGTCTATGCTGGAGGCCTGGAGCTAGAGGTTGACGTCATGTTGGCAAGGAGCTCTGCAGACCTTGACACCGCAAGGATGCCAAGAATGACAAACACATTGAGCATGCACAAATATACATCATGGTGAAAATTTGGAAAGAGGAATGCTTTGGAGGACAATGGATGACATTTACTGTATGTATGCTGCACTTTGATATTGGGCAAGGTTCTCCTGGAAAGTTTAGATCCCTTTAAATGTCTTTTATAGACCTCAGAATGTTACGATGTGATTACATAACACTAATCCAATGATTATATAACACGGTTCAGTAATTAGTATCCTGGGAGCCCTGACCAAGTGATGCTTCACCTTGTATCATCTGTGCTGCTAATCTTCTTACTGATGACTGTCTTTCTTCTCCTGCCTCCTCCGCTGCGCTATGTCCTGTAGTTTCTCTGTGGCTATGCCAGCAGTGCTTTTGGCCCACCGTCTACCCCTCCTGCCAAGGTAAATTCAAGGTTTATGATCTCCTATCTGCTTCCTCCTATGTTATGTCTATTGTAAGGCACCAGATCCTCAGACATAGGACCCTGCTGCCATCTACTGGCTCAATCTACAGAACCTGCTAGACAAGAAAATTATCCATCCAGTGCCAGGCTTCTACTCGCTGGCAACTGACTCTACTCGCTGGCTGGCAACTGACTCTACTCGCTGGCTGGCAACTGACTCTACTCGCTGGCTGGCAACTGACTTCGTTGAAGCCTTTAAAACACCCCTAGCTCCAGGTTGGGAGTGTTGAACACAGATCTCAAAGCAGATCTTTACCCACCAATTTAATGTCTCCTAAAACAATTACTTTTAAGGCATGCCAACTAAGGAGTTGCCACTGTGCTTATTTCAGCTCTCAAGCCCTCAAATGGCTGGAGTCATAGCTGATCACATGTACAGCACCAGGGTGACTGCAGAACCCTATTGTTAAATAATACATTGTGATAAGAGGGAGTGTAAAAACCTAGAGAGCCCATTAGATAGCCCCAGCGAGCCCTATTGTTACAGAGTAATTCCACTCTTGTTGAGAGAAAATCAATCTCTGGGTGATCTGTGCACATTACAAGGATTTTAACAAACTTTGTTGCAGTTTTCTATCTGTTTCTATTCTGAAGAAAAATCTGTTTGTTGCAGCATGTCCTTTCCAAACTGATCCCTGAGTGGGAGGGTCTGGGTTCATTATAACCAGCTGGGGGACTTCCTGTGTTGTAATGAGGAAAGGTGCAGTGTTTGTATCCCTTGCATCCCTAGTAGTGAATAACCCTTAGGGCTCGTTCACACCAGATGCAGTCAGGGCCGGATTTACTCCCTCTGCTGCCCCAAGGCCAGGTTCCTCAATACGCTCCCCTACCCGCCAACCCTTCAATGGAGAATGGCCTGCAGGCTGCATACAAGTGATCCCGGCTTCCTCGCTGTACATTTAGCTTTGCTTGCCCAAAGCAGGGCTACATGTAGAAAACAACCACCCGCCCGGCGCCCGGAACTGCATGTCCCGGGCGTTGGGAGATAGGAATTCCACACCCCTGCTGCCCCTCTAATCCCTGCTGCCCCAAGGCCGGGCCTTGGTTGGCCTTGTGGGGAATCCGGCCCTGGATGCAGTGCGTTCTGGCCAGAACGCACTGCATCGCATTGCGGCCGGCTCACTATGTTGTGGGGCAGGAGGGAGCATGGCGGTCCATTGAAGTGAATATGACTGTAGCCATGCCCTCCGGCTGCAATGCGATCGGCCGCACAGAATCGCAAGGAACATTATGCCTGCGGTCCAGTCCGGGCCAAAATGCTGCAAGCACTATGGGACCGGACAGCAGTCATAATGTGCCTTGCGATCCCTTGCGGCTGATTGCATTGCAGCCGGAGGGCGTGGCTACGGGGCCATTCACTTCAAAGGACCGCCACGCCCCCTCCTGCTGTCATCTTTAATAACATTAAATTACAAAATGGCTTGTGCGGCAATGTAGTGCGCTCCCCCCCCCCGACACCCCCATCTTGCTTCCTGGGCTCTGCTGCCCCTCCTGGGGGCCTGGAACCAGCATCATGGATGTCAGCGGGAAGTGGTTAGGAGAGCAGTGACCATCCTTTTGCTGATGTCCTCCCTGCTGAATGGAACCGGGAGCAATGATGATTGCATCACTTCAGGTCCCTCAGCTGTCATTCCCCAGCTGTAGAAGCCAGGGAAGTAGCTACTGGAACACGATCTGCGCTCCAATAGCTTCTTTGGAGTGGAAACGGGTGACACCGGGGGTCCCTAATTTCATCTGAAAGAGCACCTGTCACCACTAGTATGCTATCACATAGGGGGCTTGGGAGCCCCTTTATGTGATAGCAATTAAGTTAAAAAATAAATTAAATTTAAAAAAATAAAAGCAATTTAAAGTTTCCCGCCGCAAAGAGCATGTGCATATTATTGTAAACATGTGTTGGGTGTGCCTATGTAGGAAAACGATGATTGAGCCACACATGTTAGGTATCGCCACATGAGCCAGAGTGAGAGAAATAATTCTAGTGCCAATATTCACGGATGACAATTTGGGGTACTGTATTTTGTTGCTGTTTCACGAAAACGCATGCAGTTTTCAACCTTGGCATGTTGCTTATCTATTTTTTCGTCATAACCTCATCGTTTATATTTTAAAAAATGTTGACTACATTATGTTTTTGTGCACTAAAATTAACTTAAGTGTATTTTTTACTAAAATTTTGGGTGTGATAAAGAGCTGTGCTACATCAGGCGATGTAAAAACTTACAACTGCTGCCATTTTATTCTGCAGGGTCTCTGCTTTCAGAATATACAGTATATAATACAAGAATGACACTTCAGTTAAATTTAAGTGCCAGAAAAACACAACATATTACCCATTTTTTTCTAAAACATGAAAGATGAGGTTGTGCCAAGTAAATAGATACCCAACATGCCAAGCTTGAGAATTGTGTGTGTCCGTGAAATGGCAACGAAATACGGTACCCCAAATTGGCCCTATGCAACGTTTTAAATGCCTGTACAGTTCACATTCATTTAGAGATATCTGTGAATATTGGCCCTAGAATTATTGCTCTCACTCTGGCGCACGTGGTAATACCTAACGTGTAGCGCAATCTACGTTTTTATACATAGGCCCGCCCGATAGATGTTAACATCACTACTCGTGCATTCGCAGGGGTCGGGAGCTTTATTTTTTTTTTGTACTTCTAGATTTATTATATTTCACTTAATTTTTTCAAGGTTTTTTTTTTACTTTATTTCATTGCTATCACATAGGGGGGCTCACAAACCCCCTATATGATAGAACATTGGAGGTTACAGGTTCTCTTTATGGGGACAATAGTGGTCTATTATACCCCTAATGCCACCTTTCCATTGCAATGAAGCTATTAAAGTGCAGATTGCGCTTGAATAGCTTCTTCTCTAGCTGCGGAATTACAACTGAGGAACTGGAAGTGATGCAATAAGTGTCACTTCCGGCTGCATTCAGAGGGGAGGCGATAGGCAAACGGATGGCATATGTCATCGGCAGCAAAAGGGTTACAGGGTCAGTCCACCACAAAGTTATATTGTAGTTTTATTTGAAACCTTGTGGGCTCAATCACACCTGGCTTCTCATCTGTCTTAAGGTCCCCACACACCTTAAGACAGATGAAATCCCGCGATCGTACGATTATCGTAAGGTGTGTGGAAGTCGTGCGACCTCTACTAGCGCAAGCGCACACTGCCCGTTTGGCATTGCGGTCATCGGAAGCCCGTCCCTCAGGGGGCGTGGCTTGCAATCATCGCAAGTACGATCTGCCTATGCAAGATAGGCAGATCGTACGTTTTTTAAAGTACCTTACAACCATCGCAAGACAAAAGTCTTGCGATGGTTGTAAGGTGTGTGCCCAGCCTTAGATACTCCCTCAGTGAGGTCTTACTGCTCTTATTTAAAGGAGTTGTAAAGTCCCAGCACCTCCTCTCCTTAGCATTGTATTATTAATACATACTAGAGTTGTTTCTGATAATACAATCAAAGCTTACTTGAAAAATGCCCTTTTATGTAGTGAGCGCTGCCTTCCGTCTGCCCATCACTCCCAACAACTTCCTGGGTTCCCAGTGTGCTTTGTGTCTCTTTCCCTGCTGCTTGATGTGATGTAATCTCCATTTCTCAAGACTACGTATCCCATCATGCATTGCTTCCAGCAAGCAATGACACTGTTACATTGTTCAGACATTGGGCTGCAGTTCGAAGGGCAGACTCTGTGAGAGTAGACACTTTGCCTGACAAAGGAGTCCTGTGAGAAACGTTGCATCCACATGTCATGCTAAAAGAATACGAATGAAGATAATATTCCGAAGCAGAATGGTGTGTGGACAATATACAGTATCTTCTAGTCTGTGAGGAAAAGCATATTCACAGGGCTAAGTGGCATTGTGTCGGTGCAGTGAGAAAGTCCATCCTATGGGCCTTCAATAAGAAAGTTTATTAACTTCTTGATGGATCTGGTTATTAGGAGTGAGATGGAACTTGTGGAAATTCAATGTAAAAATACAGATTTATTTTTATTTATTGACCATAGACACAATTTAAGTGTATTTCTAAATGCAATCAGTGTAAGACTTGGTATCAGTCTCATGCAATCCTCTGTACAGCAGAGTTTTTGTTTTTTTACCCTTTAAATGTTCTCAGCCACCTTTTGTATGTTCCAGCATCTCGTGTTAGTATAAGATACATAACAATCCAGCAGCAATGGTGGAAACTAGGGATGTACTGATACCGATACTAGTATCGGTGCCGATACTGAGTATTTGGGTGAGTACCCGTACTCGCCCAAATGCTCAGATACTTACCTCTGATACCGGAGCTTCCGGTGAAAGGGAGATCTCCCTCTGACCGCAGTGCCAAGGGAGCATGGAGCAGGCTTCCTTTCCAATCAGAAAGGCAGGCGGTGGGTTATGACCCGCCTCCTGGCTTTCTGATTGGCTAGGAAGCCGGGTCATGTATTACAAAGCAGCCTGGTTTCCTAACCTATCAGGATCCGGGTGGCACGTCATGACTCGTGTCCCGGCTTCCTGATTGGTCAGGAAGCCACGCTGTCTAGAAACAAGTGAAGCCGGCTTCCTAGCCAATCAGTAAGCCGGGAGGCGGGTCATGATGTGCCCCCGGGTTTCCTGATTGGCTAGGAAGTCAGCTTCACTTGTTGGTAGGCAGCCCGGCTTCCTAACCAATCAGAAAGCTGAGAGGCATGTCATTATTCGCATCCTGGCTTCCTGATTGGTCAGAAAGCCACACTGCCTAGAAACAAGTGAAGCCGGCTTCCTAGCCTATCAAGAAGCCGGGAGGCGAGTCATGACGTGCTGCCTGGCTTCCTGATTGGTTAGGAAGCCGGCTTCACTTTTTGCTAGGCAGCCTGGCTTCCTGACCAATCAGGAAGCCGGACGGCACCTCATGACTCACTGCCTGGCTTCCTGATTGGTCAGGAAGCCAGGCAGCCTCTGAAGTCGGTGTTCTTTTGCTAGAACACCGACTTTACGGGCAATCAGGAAGCCTGATAATCGGGGCACAATGCACCAGTACTCGGTATTGGCGAGTACCGGAAAAAAATATCGGTACTCGTTACCGGAAAACTGGTATCGGTACATCCCTAGTGGAAACTCTTGTAATGGACACAGCAGGTGTGTAGAGCCAGGAACTCGGTACAGAGATCTCATCTGCAGGTGATTTGCAAAATAATATTGGACATAATTTAGCAAACCGCAGTCCTGCGCAGATGTTATTGCATGAGCGTGAGGATCTGGTGCTCTTCAGATCATTTATGTATTAACCGCTCATTGCTGGCAATAGTGAAAGTCCTGACAGAACAAGGCCCATTGTCTTTGTTATTTCCTTTTTCCGCTCTGAGAATTGTTATTGTGCATCATCTCTTTCATATTTCTCAGTGCCGTCAGTCAGTGCTTCTGAGGACATGATTGTAACTGTGTAACTGCTGACCAAATACAAGGGTTCCATCATGACAGCTAAGGAGCCATAATGTAGCTTCTGTATATAACTTAAGTGACATGATACACTTAGAGAAAATAATAAAGATCTCAATGCCAATGGTAACATCAATTATTTCTATCCATAAGGCCTTTCCAATAAACACTTTCTTTTTTTCTCTTATCTCTATAGTTGCCGGTATGTGTTCGCTCACCTCCAGATCTACTGAGCCGACCTGTGACAGTTTTATTGTCACGGGTCGGCTAGAACTATGAGGTGAGTGAAAAGCACTCACCTCATACTTCTCCTTTAACTTAATGAATTTAATGGACTTGTGTCTTTTTTCAACCTGACTAACTATGTAACTATGTATATAAGAACACACCACACAGATTTCAGTGGATAGGACAGTACCACAGATCCAGTTACATTTATTTATTATTATTTTTAAAGCACACAAAAAAAATGACATTAACCATTAGAGCCCATTTAGACTTTGGCATCCATGTGCATTGCGTTAAGGTAGTCTATTCAAATTAATAGGTTGGCAAGGCACAAAAAACAGACAAGCACCACCTTTGGCAATACATCACACCGCAGTACATGGTAGTGCATTACCATGTGTTGCTGGTCTGGATGGACAGCAGTGCAAATCATTTGGCAGGTTAAGCAGTTCAGTACACACAGTATTCATGCTCTGCATTTATCTGTGGTTTGCCTAGAGTTCAGTTTCATTCTTTATACTGGCTGGGGTTGCCACCTTTTCTTTAAGCAAAACCCGAACACTCTAGCGCCACAGGGCAATTTGTATTGGAGAATATAAAGGAGAGAGAGAGAGGAGGGACAGCCAGGAGAGGGAATAAGGAGAGACAGCCAGGAGAGAGAGAGCGAGGAGAGACAGTCAGGAGAGAGACAGCCAAGAGAGAGAGCGAGGAGAGACAGCCAGGAGAGAGAGGAGAGAGACAGCCAAGAGAGAGAGTGAGGAGAGACAGCCAGGAGAGAGTGAGAAGAGAGAACCAGGAGAGAGGAGAGACAGCCAGGGGAGAGTGAGGAGAGACAGCCAGGAGAGAGTGAGAAGAGAGGAGAGACAGTCAGGGGAAAGTGAGGAGAGACAGCCAGGGGAGAGTGAGGAGAGATAGCCAGGGGAGAGTGAGGAGAGACAGCCAGGGGAGAGTGAGGAGAGACAGCCAGGGGAGAGCGAGGAGAGACAGACAGGAGAGAGAATGAGGAGAGACAACAAAGAGAGGGAGAGAGTAGACAGCCAGGGAAGAGAGACAGCCAGGAGAGAGGAGAGACAGCCGGGAAAGGGAGAGGAGAACAATCTGGGGAAAAAAGAGGAGAGACAGCCAGGAGAGATAATGAGGATAGACAGCCGAGAAGGAGAGAGAAGAGACAGCCGGGAAAGAGAGAGGTGAGACAGCCAGGATAGAGAGTGAGCAGAGACTGTGAGCAACACATCTGCCTGAAGCAGAACCCCCGTGCCCTTCAAAACCTATCTGCACCCTGTGTTTCAGACATCTCCTTGCTCCTTGTGTTTCAGATACCTCCTTGCTCCCTGAGTTCCAGCATCCTCTGTATCCTGTGCCTCCTCCATGCACTCGAGTTGGAACACCAGGACCCCTTGGTTGCCCTTGTCCATCTGACATCTTGTGTCCGGCTTTCAGCTGGCCTGAAACCTGAACACAGCACATACAGGACTCAAAACCCAGGATGTCTGGGTGAATCCCGGACAAGCGGCATCCCTAATACTGGCCAAGGATCTTTGTGCCTTTCTTGCAGTTATAGTGGCAGTAGAGTAGTAGGACATCTCTATATCTCTCTATCACTGTCTCCTGGAAAAGCAAAAGTGTCGGGGTTAAATTTAATATTAAAGTTCAGCACATCTGCACCCCACCAGGTGTCATAGCAGATGGAAAACAAAAAATTCAGTGCAAGAAGTCTAAACCCCTGCACTCCCTCGGTTGTGATAGCAGCAGTCAAAGGGTTAAATCATTAGTGTAGTTCAGCTCCTCTGCCTCCCTCCATCCATGTTTCCCTCTCAGTGACACAGGAGGGAGGAAGAGGCTCTCTCACTCTTATCATCTTTCATTTCCTGACTCTAATTTGTTTGCTTCTAATTCCAATATCTGTTTTTTTTTTCTTTCAGGGGGCTGAGACCAGGAAGCGCTCGCCCACCCTGAGCAGCCAGTTCAAACGTTCATTGGAGCTGCTGATGAGAACCCTGAGCGTGTGTCAGCCTTTCTTCGTACGATGCATAAAGCCCAACGAGTACAAGAAGCCCATGGTAAGTTCGGTGCCTTCGGTGGGGTGGTCTTCAGGGGTCACTTTATGGAGTTTTAAAAGTGTAGCATCGCACACTCACATTGAAGATCTATCAAACTCTCGTCTTCATATCTGTAGCAGTTTCCTGAACTTTCTCAGAATGTCATGAAATCTTTTCCAGGACATTTTTCTTTGTACCTTTAGTGGAAGCGTTAAGCGTAGTTGACCAGTGATATATCCTCAACACCAGCCTTTCTCAATCAGGGTTCATCCAGAGGGTGTTGAGGGTTCCTTGATTAGATGGTGGATTAAACTGCCAAATGGTCTGTATGGTTCTGTCTCTAATGCCACATAACAGAGCCAGTGGTATGGAACCAGTGGAACATCTCCTCTGGTTCTCTTCTTCTCTTGTCTTGCCTTGTTCTTCTTTTGCCAAGTAACTATCCACTGACAACAATGATCATGTTAGCTGTCTGTAAAGTGTGTGGGGGGGGGGGCATTCTTCCCACTGACCACCAATGTCAGGAAAATTCTTTCCACTGACCATCAATGTAAGGAGCATTCTTTTCTTCCTGATGGCTATTAATGTAAGGGACATTCTTCCCGCTAGCCACCAAGAAGTGTTCTTCCCACTGCACTGGCCACCAATTTATGGGACATTCTTCTCACTGATTACCAATGTTAGAAGCCTTCATTCCACTGACCACCAATGGCAGGAAAATTCTTTCCACTGACCATCAATGTAAGGAGCATACTTCCTACTGACCAGCAATATAAGGAACATTCTTCCCACTGGCCACCAGTGTAAGGAGCATTCTTCCTGCTGGCTATCAATGTAAGGGACATTCTTCCCACTAGCCACCAATGTAAGAAGTGTTCTTCCCACTGCACTGGCCACCAATTTATGGGACATTCTACCCACTGACCACCAATGTTAGAAGCCTTAATTCCACTGACCACCAATGGCAGGAAAATTCCTTCCACTGACCATCAATGTAAGGAGCATACTTCCTACTGACCAGCAATATAAGGAGCATTCTTCCCACTGGCCACCAGTGTTTAGATCATTCTTCCTGCTGGCTATCAATGTAAGGGACATTCTTCCCGCTAGCCACCAATGTAAGGAGTGTTTTTCCCACTACACTGGCCACCAATTTATGGGACATTCTACCCACTGACCACCAGTGTAAAGAGCATTCTTCCCACTGGCCACTATTGCAAGGCACATTCTTCCCACTGGCCACCATTGTAAGAAGCATTCTTCCCACTGACCACCATTGAAAGAAGCATTCTTTCCACTGGCCACCATTGCAAGGAACATACTTCTCATTGTCCCCCAGTGTATGGGGGTCACTAGAATGAATTTCCCCAATGGTGACTCAGACGACAATAAATATCTGTTCCCCAAAAGAGGAAAATAAAACGGTTTTAGCACCAAAAAACATACATCTCTATAAAATTTAAGGTTTTTTTTGTCAACTAAGGTTTTTATGCCTATACATAATCATCACTCTGTATTTGGGGGTTTCATATCATTCTTATCTGGGGTAATGAATTTTTATCATACATTACTAATTTGAATGTCTACCTCATCAGAGTTCATCTAAAACCTAACATTTGTGTGTTATTGCATAAAAATCTTTTCCCAGTAATATCTTATTTGTGAGATTTTATTTTGTTGTGTGTAGAACATCACCTGTATTTAGGAAGAGTTACTGGGGGATGATTTAATAAAGCATTTGTAGCACGTTTGTTGAGTTACTGTTGTATTAGAAAGACCTGCACCAAATTCATTAAGCTGTTTGACAGTTTTCTTGCTACTTCCAACGCTTGCAACAAATCCAGGTAGTTCTTATGTGTGACACTTTTACATTCTGGTGCTAGGGCTGTGAAAAACTAGGAATAAAGAAATACTACCATATCAGTGATAAGAAAAGTAGAGGTAAATAAGATCTCTTCCATATGGGAGTAAATTGGGTCGTACATAAGTATTGTGTCCCAGACAAATCATGCAAATTCAAATATACCTTGCCAACAATCTGTCACAAGTTGCGCCATTTGTTGCAGAGACGGGAGGCAGACTTCTAACAAAATGTTTTTAAAACTCTTTACGAATTCCAGGGACCATATTTTGATTCAATTTTTGTCACTTTGTAGAACCTACGTGGCTTTGCCGTTTCTCCTCAATATTCCAGTATCACCTACTGTGACTCCTATTTCTCTCTCATTAATATCTCCTCATTCTTTTCCCTTACAAGCAGTGCTGTCCCTAGCCTTTTTGCCACCTGAGGCTGGTCTTGGAGGGTAGGGGGGGGGTCTGAATCTCCCCGGCTAGCTCTTAGTAACCCGGAGTGCTCTGGCCAGTGTCCTGCCCATCATATACTGAGTGGCCCAGGTCTTCTACTGAGTACACTGAATATTCTCCTGAGAGCTGTGGATCTTCTACTGCATGCCCCGGGTATTTTACTGAGTGCCCCAGGATCTTCTACTGACTGCCCTGGATCTTCTACTGAGTGCCCCAGGATCTTCTACTGAGTGCCCCAGGTCCTCTACTGAGGGCCCCAGGTTTTCTACTGAATACACTGGATATTCTACTGAGAGCCCCAGGTCCTCTACTCAGTGCCCCAGGTTTTCTACTGACTGCCCTGGATCTTCTACTGAGTGCCCCAGGATCTTCTACTGACTGCCCTGGATCTTCTACTGAGTGCCCCAGGATCTTCTACTGACTGCCCTGGATCTTCTACTGAGTGCCCCAGGATCTTCTACTGACTGCCCTGGATCTTCTACTGAGTGCCCCAGGATCTTCTACTGACTGCCCTGGATCTTCTACTGAGTGCCCCAGGATCTTCTACTGACTGCCCTGGATCTTCTACTGAGTGCCCCAGGATCTTCTACTGACTGCCCTGGATCTTCTACTGAGTGCCCCAGGATCTTCTACTGACTGCCCTGGATCTTCTACTGAGTGCCCCAGGATCTTCTACTGACTGCCCTGGATCTTCTACTGAGTGCCCCAGGATCTTCTACTGACTGCCCTGGATCTTCTACTGAGTGCCCCAGGATCTTCTACTGACTGCCCTGGATCTTCTACTGAGTGCCCCAGGTCCTCTACTGAGTGCCCCAGGTTTTCTATTGAATACACTGGATATTCTACTGAGAGCCCCAGGTCCTCTACTCAGTGCCCCAGGTTTTCTACTGAATACACTGGATATTCTACTGAGAGCCCCAGGTCCTCTACTCAGTGCCCCAGGTTTTCTACTGAATACACTGGATATTCTACTGAGAGCCCCAGGTCCTCTACTCAGTGCCCCAGGTTTTCTACTGAATACACTGGATATTCTACTGAGAGCCCCAGGTCCTCTACTCAGTGCCCCAGGTTTTCTACTGAATACACTGGATATTCTACTGAGAGCCCCAGGTCCTCTACTCAGTGCCCCAGGTTTTCTACTGAATACACTGGATATTCTACTGAGAGCCCCAGGTCCTCTAGTGAATGCCCAGATCTTCTACTGAGTGCCCCAGGTCTTCTACTGACTACCCCGGGTCTCCATTGAAATAAGGAGATGATACATTTTAATGCATAATCCAATTTTGTAACATTATATAATGTATCTACTTTCTGATTAATCTATTTATATTTTTCTAAGCAATGATAATACTTTTGATTTATATTTTTAGTCATGTCATCATAATGTTATATTACAGTTTTTAGGCCAATTCATTTTCGTTCAGTTGAAAAGATTATATTAACCTTAAGCTGGCCATACACTATACAATCTGCATGTACTTAGAGTGCCTAAGATCTGTCAAATATGTAGAGCAAGGGCCTGCCGGATTTGAAGTTGAATGGATTGTTTAGGTTTGTCCTCATGTTGCACAGTTTTGGAAAATCTAAGGGGGTTATTCACAAAGGTGCTGAAAGCAGCCAAGTGAATAACTCAGCCGAAGTGAAGTGAGCCGAACAATATTCGGCTATTCACTCCGGCTCAGTACGGCTAATTTCAGTCATACATCGGCTGAAATCAGCCGTACATCGACTGCCTTCGGCTGCACTTCGGTCAGCCAAACATGCTCTGCATGTTCGGGTGAGCCGAAGTGCAGAAGGACTTCAACTCAGCTGATCCAACATCTGGATCAGCTGAGCCGAAGCTCCGGCAGCTCTCTCGCTGCCATTCGCCCGTATTCTCATAGGGTCCGAACAGCAGTGAGTGAATAGCCGAATGCCGCCGAACGGCATTCGGCTCGGCTATTCTGCTCGGTATCTCCGTGGTACCGAACAGAATAGAAAATCAATGAAAAGAGTTTTTTTTTAAAAGGTTGAAAATATATTTTTAAAATGTAAATAAATTGTAAAATTTAAAAATAAATAAAGATTTTTTTAAAAAGAAAAAGAAACAATTGGGCGGAGCTAGCTCCGCCCAACTTTTTCCTATCGGCCGGCACCTGCTAGAGTCTTCTAGAGTCTTCTAGCAGATCCCGGCCAATGAATAACAACTGGGCGGAGTTGTTATTGTTTAAGGACAGATCAGTGTCTCCAGGTCATTTGGGGACGCTGATCCGTCATTGCAACTGGGCAGAGCCAGCTGTGACATCACCACTTGCTCCGCCCCCCCTGTCATTTGCGGGGCGAACGGCTGGCCTTTGGCAGGTTGTTTGCCCCGCTTCGACTGTCACTTCTTCTCAGTCGACCCGGAAGCATATGCCTTTGGCTCGGCTGAGCCGCTTTGCCGCCTTTGGCAGCTGTATGGGCTATAGTGAATAGCTGTACAGCAGCCCTTCGGTTTCCATGTACAAAATGTTTAATGGTGGTAGCAACATTAGCGATAAACTGTTTAAAATTAACTCCGTTACAAAAACTAGAGGCCATCACCTAAAATTGGTGGAAAAAAAATTCCAGCACAAGGGGCGAAGGGGGTTCTTCACAGTAAGATCAGTTAGGGTCTGGAACTCACTGCCACAGGCGGTGATTTCAGCAAATAATGTGGAATTGTTCAAGAAACTTTTGGACGATTTCTTAAGGGACCGTAATATACAGGGGTACGGGTACTCCTAGAATGAGATCCTAATAGGTTGGACTTGATGGACTAATGTCTTTATTCAACCTCAAATACTATGTAACTATGTAACTATGACTCCAGGCAAAACGGTTTATTTTGTATTGGATAGAACTGCTGACGAGTCATGTGACTGATGCTATACTGGGTAAAATACCATTAACAGTTCACCCATATACATTGCCTCTTATCTTGAAGCCCTGATGGAGGAGCGTGATTTTGGGCCCCGGAAACACGCTTCCCCTTTTTTATTCCATGGCAATCATTAACGCTTATATCTTTTACTTTCAAACCTTAACTGAACAAACTCAAGAGAATCTGATTGGTTACTATGGGCAACCGCTCCAGAATCTGTCTGCTTCAGTTTTGATCAACTCCCCCCTTTGTATTTTGATGCATTCTCCACCATAAGTACTTAGGGGGGGATTTATCAAAGCAATTGCAACAGTTTAGCCTCTTAGGCCCCCGTTCACACCAGGGCGGTTCGGTCGGGGCGGATTTGTCCGCGGTGAACCGCCGACAGGAACAATCCCATTCTTACGTGGCTCCACACGATTCGCACCGCCCAAAACGCTCCCTGAGCTACTTTTTTCACGCTGATCAGCGTATTTTTCATATAGATTTTAATAGAAACGCGCGTTTTGGGACGCCCTTTCAAAAATCGAGCGGAAACCGTACTGAAACGCTTCCGCCCTGGAGTGAATAGGGCTTCAAATCTTTTTTTTTTTTATGTGCAAATCTGTTTAGCCGCTCCTTTTACCATGTGCACCCGTTTTTGGCCTGAGCTTGCACTATTTTTCTGATTGCGCATGTTTTGCGTCTGTTTTGCGATAGTTCACAACTGTTTACATCTGCGCTTGTACTGCGGCTGTCTGAAACTGGAGCATCGCCTAACACATCAATCGCAACTTAAGAAGTCCCCATGACCACTTCTTCAGGAAGCCACAGTTAGACCCCGTTCACACCGGGGCAGTCCGGCCGCACGGATTCGCCGACATGAACGATCTCATACATCGCTACGGGGACCGTTCATGCCTCCACATGATCCGAACCCTCCCCCGCCCGAACTGCTCCCTGCACTATTTTTGCCGCGCTGATCATAGCGGTTTCCATACAGCTTTCAATGGAACCGTGCTGATCAGCGTGGTTTTGGACGTTTTTAATTGCGTTTTAGCACTGAAACGCAATTAAAAACTCCCTTTACCTCCCTTTTGAGATCAGCTCGGTGACCGCGCTGAACCGCAACCGCCCTGGGGTGAATGGGCTCTTGAGCTTCATTGCGAGTCTTCTTTCCTGGAGTCTATTTATTCTCATTTATGAACAACATTACACTCGCATCATAAATCTGGCGCAAATATATCCCATGCGACTCTATGTTCAAACACTCGCAATTGTTACGATAAATTCCCCCCCCCCCCCATGAACCTTTTCACAGTGGGGAGCACACATGGATGTTCTCAGCCGTGTACGATTGCTTCTTTGTTATCCAATCAGCTTGCTAGGGCTGGGTGCTTGACTAGATCTATTGTGTAACTTAAAAATTAAAACATGTGACGCCATTGATCTGGTTGTGCTGTCTGGCAGGGATGTCTGGACCACAAACCTGGCTGAACAGAAGTGCAAATCCTTTGTCATGTAAAACAGTGTATATATTCTCTGCCTTTACCCTGGCCTTGGCCTTTTAATCCTGATTGCCATAGGGGACAGAATATACGTACAGGGGACTGCAGGTATATTCCTTGTGTTGTATGTACTACAGTTCCATGTAAACTGTTATAACATCAGGAACAACACCAAACTTTAAGGGGCCCATTTATAACTCTTTCCTATACTCCTCAGTGCCATCTATAGGTGCCACCACCTTTTATAAATAAAGGGGCAGAGAGCATACAAACCTCCATGCAGATTGTGTGTCCTCTTTTTCTGTAGCCCCAGCACTCCATGAACAGGAAGCTCTCAGTACAGAGGCTTCCTGTTCATTCACAAGCTGGAGATAGTACATTACTATCAACCCAGTCATGAATGGAGAGGAAGCCTCTGTGCTGAGCTGCTTCCTGTTCATTTATAAAGTGAGCAGATAGTAAATATTTACTATGTCCCCATTCATAAATGAACAGGAAGTGATTTATATCACTTCCTGTTCATTCATAATTGGGGGCATAGTCATCACTATGTCCTCAGTTAGTTACAAACACCAAGTGACCAGTACCGATCACTCCGTGTTTGCTCAGTACAGTGAAGGATCGGTATATATTTACCAATGATGAAACTCTACCCCCTCCGGCCTTGTGGACTGGGTAGCCTCAAAGCAGCGGTGGGCAACTATGGCCCTCCAGCTGTTTTGGGACAACAAGTCCCATGAAGCATTGCAAGACTGACAGCCACAGGCATGACTCCCAGAGGCATGATGGGATTTGTAGTTAAAGCACAGCTTGGGGGGGGGGGGGCACAGTTGCTCACCCTGGCCTTTAAAGAGGCCGTTTAAACCCAGCCCACCCACCTTCCCACTCCAAACCTGACGCTGCTCAAAGAAAGAACCCAATACTACCAGGTATGGAGGAGCATGTGACTAACTCCATGTGACAGGGCTGTGCCAAATCAGCACACAGGGAGTCCACAGCACCGTGTAAGGCAACTCATACTACACAGGGTTTTCCTTCCGTCTACATGTACAGCAGAGCTCAGACTGGGAGGGGCAGGGATGGGGGCCAATTAGGTGTGCTGCATGCAAATGTGCTAATAAGGAAATGCTGATAGGAGGAGAAAGCAGAGTAAGTAGAGAGATGTCTGTGAAGGTTTTCATTCATCCAGGTCATGGTAAATCTGTGAAAAATAAGTCAAGGCCACTGGACTTGATGTAAGTGAGTAGAGAGATGACCTAATTACTCTTCTGCTTCTCCTTCTCTGTCCAATTAGCAGGTTTAGGATCATTTTGTTGTGTAATGATTTCCCTTTTCCTCCTTGACAGCTGTTTGACAGAGAGCTGTGCGTCCGTCAGCTTCGGTACTCTGGAATGATGGAGACCATCCGGATCCGCAGGGCCGGGTACCCCATACGCTACACCTTCGTGGAGTTTGTGGACCGATATCGGGTGTTAATGCCAGGAGTGAAGCCGGCTTACAAACAGGTGCTGTGTATATGGCAGAATAAGCAGCTTGCTGTAAATTATAATCAAGTTTGGTCAGGGCAGCGATCAGGTGGGTACGTCTGATACTCATGTAAGGGGCCTGGGCAGCCTGGGGGCCCGCCCGGGTTCCTTACATGACTATCGGCCGACGGTGAAGGGCGATGAGGCGGAGGCCTGGCCCTAGCAGCGCAGGGCCCCAGCATTGCTGCTGCAGCGGCTTTGAGACAAGCTAGGGCCCCATCAGCGACACTGCTCATCTGATGTCGGACTGGCCGGAAGTGACGTCAAGTTAGTGACGGGACGTCACTTCTGGCTGGTCCGGCGGCAGATGAGACCATGTGTGCAGGTAAGAGGAGCTAGGAAGGAAGGAAGGAAAGGAGGGAAGGATGCAGCCCTGACCAGCCCACCTGAGACCCCTTCAGAGCCCACCATAGACAATCTCAGATGGGCTGTGCAGCATCTATGGTGGGCTCTGCAGGGTCACTCTCAGGTGGGTCCTGTGTCCAGTGCATCACTAAGCCCTGCGCCCAGCACGTCACTAAGCCCTGCGTCCAGTGCGTCACTAAGCCCTGCGTCCAGCGGCGCGGTGGGGGCACGGCCTAAAGCCGTGTAAGGGGCCCCAAAATTTCTGATGGCTGCCCTGAGTTTGGTTGAATTCACAAAGCTTTAACTCCAGCCTAAAGCTGCCCACATGCAATACAATCTGATTGTATAATCTCCATTAGGTGTAGGCTGGCCATATGCAATACAATCTGATTGTACAATCTCCATTAGGTGTAGGCTGGCCATATGCAATACAATCTGATTGTACAATCTCCATTAGGTGTAGGCTGGCCATATGCAATACAATCTGATTGTACAATCTCCATTAGGTGTAGGCTGGCCATATGCAATACAATCTGGTTGTACAACACCCATTAGAATAAAGCTGGCCTTGTACTATACAATACAATACTATACATGTAACAGTTATGAGTGGAGTTCTCTCTCGTTTATCCCGGGCTTCTTGCTTATATTTTCCTTTCTCTTCCAGGGAGACTTGCGTGGAACGTGTCAGCGCATCGCCGAATGTGTTTTGGGCAAGGATGATGATTGGCAGATTGGAAAAACGAAGATTTTCTTAAAGGTACATAAACCTCTAGAGAAAGCTTTGCTTTCAATTCAGATTTATTACACAAGGAAATGCTGGGAGTAACGGCGGGATACATCGTGCAGTCACCAATAGCGTTGTATCTATAGCCAGACCAATGATGGCTGATTGCTCTGCCCAGTGACGTGTTACTTTGTATATAAAAGCATTCCTGTAAAAGAAGACGGAATATACTTTCCTCTCCGATGGCCCGGAATCTTTGCTGCTCCCCCCCCCGCTGCAGGCTTTGGTTTCTTCCGCCAGCTTATGTATCGCTACAAGATGTACGAGCCAGCAGGAGGAACCACTGCCTGCAAAGGGGGATCGGATGTTCCACACAACCACGGAGCTTAGTGGACTGCTTGTAGCAGCCCGGGGGGGCAGCGCAGAGGCGGAGCAATTTTTTTTATTTTTGCACACACACATTACAAACTGAATTTTCGAAGAGAGAAAATTACTTTAAAACCCCCCAAAATGTTATATTTTCTGAAAAGCAAAGACCCTGTAGACTAAAAATATGGGAGCTGCATTTACCTATGTCACACGGTATTTGCACAAATATTTATCAAATCCATATTTTTAGGGGGAAAAAAAACACTTAAATTAATTTTAATGCACACAAACACAATTCAATACCCTTTTTTTCGTAAAATATATAAAATGGGGTCACATCGAGTTAACAGATACCAAACATGTCAAGCGTCAAAATTGTACGCGCCCGTGCAATAGCAAAAAACAATGGTGCTCAAGCATTGTGCCCGAGCCCCGTGTGACCGACACTTCAGCCATTTTTGTGACAGCTGTGAGCAGGAAGTGCTGTAGATCAGGGAATGGACGTTCTCCAATCAGCTGCCACTCTCCATCCTGACACTAATAGTCGAGGTCTTGGGTATCCCAGAGGTGTGGGGGACCCCGAAAACTATGGCAGCGGAGTGTGGGGGAGGGGGTACCATCTATGCAGGCTGGTACATCTTGGTTTAACTTCTTCAGGAACAGGCCATATATATATATACACTGAGTGGCCAGATTATTATGACCACCCCATCAGTAGTTCGTTGGGCCACCTTTTGCCTTCAATACTGCGGCGATTCTTCTTGGCATTGACTCCACGAGAAGTTGAAAGGTGATGCGAGGAATCTGACACCATGCCTGATGAATAGCACTGTCCAGTTCTGTGAGATTTGATGGTTGTGGAACCAACTGCCTGATGGCTCTTTCAACTTCGTCCCACAAATGCTCAATTGGATTGAGATCTGGTGATTGTGGGGGCCACCTAAGCAAGGTAAAGTCTCCCT